CATGTATAATTTCATGTACAGTGTACATTACAATAAAAATAATAGTTGTGTTGCTCAGTCGGCAAAATATTTAGATTTATTCTTCTCCATTTTGCATTCAAACTTTTTGAATCTCCTGCGACGTAAAATTTGGACTCCCTTTCTTACTCATGATTTTGAAAAATAAATATACATATTATTTCTTTCATTATATATTACTTTATTTACGCATTTGCACGGGCATATAAGCAGACACTTTCAGTAATATTTTGAAACGCCATATAATTTCCATATTATAAATAAGTTTTATGTTAATGGATCACATACTAGCAAATGCATACTATCATATAACTTTAATAGATCTATTTTGATTTCGATCATATCACATCAAAACATTCTACCATGGACTAACCAAGTGACACTGTTTAGTCTCAAATGGAGACAAGCAATTGTATGTTAAAAAAATATTTCTTTTAAATTTCTAGAAGGGATAAAGACAAATTTTGAATCGTTCAAAGCAAAGAAACGAAGAGACGAAACTGGTAAACAAGAAGAACATAACAAGAAAATGGCTGTGTACAGCAAGATGAGAAGAGTAAGAACTGATTTTTTTTATTATGGTGAACAATTCAGATATAACATAAGAAGCGGATTTAGACGGGAGTTTTATTTAATATTATATACTTATATCACTCTAAACAGGGAACCCCCTTTTAACTTCATTTTCTTTGCTTTTCACTAAATTCCTTTTGTGACGCTACAATAAAAAAAGGAAAAAGGTGACAGTATCTAACGACGTCACATATATATATATTAATTACACCTTATATAAGAATGCCGGATTTTGATTGGTTGTTAGCCAGTGTATTTTTCGCATATTCTAACATTTGTTCATCATTTCAAACGAATTTGCCTGTTTTTCACCTCTGCCGGTGAATTTGCCTCAAATTCCCCTCTTTGCCGTGGTATTTGCCATTTTGGATATTCCTTTTTTACCCTCGCGAGCCAGTCTCGCCAAAATTATTCGGAACCTTTCTCACTTTATCCCGACAACATGGTTAAGCACTATTGATTGAGTTAAACCGAAAACTGTCAGAAATATACATATAATGAGGGAACAAAATGTCTATTCAAATGAACGATATAATGATGGAATAACAATGACGTTTGCACATATAGATACCATGACGTTACAAAAAGACAGGACTTACGCGTATAAGTACATGTATAATTCCCGCGGTACTACGATTTCCCTTCACATGTACAGACAGTTTCAATTAAAATCTATTCGGTGTGATTAAACAGATATATCATGTTATGGAGGGGTATTTGCGAAAAATACCAGTCTTGGGACCAAATTTCCCTCGCCTAGCGGCTTGGGAAATTTCACGGTCCCTTGACTGGTATTTTTCGCAAATACCCCTCCATAACATGATATATCTGTTCAATACCTCATTTTGCAGATCAGTGAAAAAGTTTGTCTACGTAACGTCTAAAAATCAAAATAGAAACAGAATCCAACACCGAATCTCGTGCAATATAATATTTCTCCACTCTCGACAATTGAATTTTCAATACTCAAAAAGATCGGCAGGCCTTCACTTGATGTAGCGGTAGAATTTCTCTCTCCCTCTCTCGCCGGCCGGGCTTTTCAAGAGAGAGAGAGAAATTAAATGCTAGGAATTGAGTGTTCTGTTGGATTATATTATATTCATAAATAATATACAGCATGCTTTCTGTCACAGTAATCACTAGTATTGTTTTTACAGACTGCTTTTTGCTGAGGTTATAATAATAATAATAATAAAAATAATAATAATAATAATATCTTTATTGAAAGAGAGTTATTACGGCATATATGAAATCTATTTGTATGTATTCAAAATGAAATTCAAGGAATTTTGATTTGAGCTTAATTCTCCTTTTTTAAGAAATTAAACAACAGAAAAAGGCCCTAAAAGTAAAAGTCCAGTATACCAGAGGAACAAAAAGAAAAGGGCTCGAAAAGCCTTGTGGTGCAGAACATGACTTATGAACAAACAGATTCAAATTAGTAAAAAAAAACTAGGCCAAAAACATGATGGTCAACTAACCAAGAGAAGCAGACGGCAGCACCATAAACGAAAGGTTGGGGCAATTTCCTCAAGGATAAAACCTGAAGCCGTGCCAGGACATGAATGGGTGTTTAAATAGTTTTAAAATAATGTCAATGATTAAACGTTATTCGTTTTAAGTATGCAAGTTTTACCGACCAAAGTAAATGCTACATGTAATTGTTAATAATTTTTAGACAAGTATTTGTCCCAAACTAAAAAAAACAAAAAATCTGATATCTCGTTCTATTCTTATATTAACATATTTCAGTCATCACGAAATCAAATAGATGCGAACAGAAAGAGAAAAAATACATCTTCATGTCGGATGTCAACATACCGTCTTCAACAACAACAAGCGGTTCGAAGGAGAACGTTTTTGATAAAAAATAGTAAAGAAAAGTGCTTCTTGAAACAACAGTATTGTCGTAATGGGCAAAACTATTTAAAAATAACACGAACAATGTACATTTCATTGGCAAAACAAAATATAATAACTTTTTTGATTTGTAACCTAGCATCACGGAAAATAAATGTTAAAAAAATATTTTTTTATAGAATCTTAGAATTTTAGATGGAAAATCTTGTTTTTTTTTAAATATGGAAGTGATACCAAGAAAATAAGCAGTGTATTATTTGCACATAGTAGTAAAAAAAAAGAAGACAAAATGGTAATTCTTCGAAATACAAAATGTAGTAAGAAACTTGGTATATATTAAATTTCAATGTTTTAAATATTTCTTTTGTGCGTAATTATACAATATAAACAAGAAAAAGCTAGATAGCAGTAAATTTTATCTGGTACCCTGATGTAAGCAATCATACAATGCATGTATACAACAGTTGGTTTTACATTTAAAATCCTTGTTTTAGTGGTGAAGCTCTTCATTGTGTATTTTTTATATTATATTGATGTCCACGCGAGCATAATCAAATATATATTTTGAAATTAATTGCACTGATAAAACATATAGACATGTAACTGGGATCTGATATGTGAATCTTTTTTTTCCAATTAATTAAAAACAGTAAGCAATGAAAGGGAAACAACTCTTGTTAAAATAAGAATTTTTTTCGTATCTTTAAAAATTGAAGAAATTTGTTGTTTTTATTTTTAGCTTAAAGGTCTACACGTTTCTAGTTATTAATATTTTTATAAAAAATTAGTATTAAGATCTTGAATTTTTTATTTTAATAAGAAAGGGGTTGTATATAATTGGGTGCTTGTTAAACCCTCCAAATTACGTTGGATTTTATTATTCAGCTCGAATCTTTGTATTCAAAGGGAAATAACTCTTTCTATTAAAATAATTAGGTAAGACAATCGAAACAACCACAACAAAAAGGATTCTGCAAATATGTTACTGCTTATTATATTTAAATACTCAGTCCTTTTACATCATGAAGTTAATATGTTTTTGTTCCTTAAAAACAGCTTTAGCAAAAACAAACAAAAATGCACAAAATTAGAGTTTTATAATTTTGTTATGTATGTAGATTTTTTTTTTAATTATTATAGAACGGAATGTTAGTACTTTAATTTGTCATGTATTTGTAAATTGAAAATAATGAATAAATTTAGCTAAGATTCTAGATAATTGTTTTTTTTTTTATTCAGGATTTCGCCATAGTCTAGATCTCCATTACGGGCAGCTTTTTTTTATGAATTTCCAGTTGCTCCTCTCACTGTAATATCTTGTATTTTGAGGCAATCATGAGTGTTTAATTCGAATTATGGGTTGTGGCAACTTAGGGTGTACAATTATGGCTTTGTTTGTTATACTGAAGTATATTTGTATAAACAAATATATCTTGCATTATAATAGGGTTCGATTGTAAGAACTGTTACTGGTCATATGTGGATGAAAGCTGCAAATATATACTGTTTTCTGTCGTGAATTTGCAGGTCAATTGGCATATATTTGGTGCACCAAACACGGAGATTACAAAGATTTTCGATAGTAAATGGAGTCAAAATGAGTTTAAATTTGAAGTAAATCAAGTTATTTCACACATTAAATCTTTAAACTTGATGTTGAATTTGATTTCAATTTGCATTAAATGAAAGTTTATCGTTGTATTAAATTTGTAACTCGATGTTGAATCAGATTTTAAACCACAGTAAACGGCTTACTGTTTGGAATATTATTGACTTTAATTTGTAGTAAATCATGTTTTACAGATTTTCTCTACATTAAATTTGATGTTGTATGTATATTAAACTTTGTTAAATTCGAAAATTACTGGACAGTAAATCAGGTGTCAATTCATGAACTTACTGCATCCAGTAAACTATTTGTAAACTACTATTAAACATTGCGTTTACTTGAACTATAAACTACCAGAAAAAAAATAAACTCGGAAATTACGACTGATTTTCAAGTAGTTTATTGATACCTTAAATTAATACTTTCATGCAGTGCAATTGACAAACAAAATAAGGTATGGAGACATTGACCTTATTTTCAAACTCAGACTTTTCAGTGGTGATGGACCAGCCAGGCAATTTGAGGCTGGTCAACAGAGAGGGGGAAACTTCAGCTGTATTTGTGGTGTAGAAAGTAAAAGCCATATGAATTTGGAATGCTGCTATCAAATGATGCCCTTAGATCTTGAGGATAGAAAAAAAAATTGTTGCTGAAGGTTCCTCCTGGATTAAAATTTAGGACGGAATAATAAATCCATTTCAAAACTTGAAAAAGGAAGAATTGATTGATGAGCTTGAAGAAAGGGGTGTTGATACTTTTCATTTAAATTTAAAGTCAAGATTACAGGAAGAGCTAACATATGGGATATGTAGACCCCCTGCGTTACTTATGAAACACCCCGATAAAACATCAAAAGAAATGAATATTGAAAGCTATGAAGTTATGCCTTGTGAACCATTGCATGATATATGTAACATTGTACAACACATCATTACTGGACTACCCCACCATGTTGAAAACAAAGAAACAAAAGCCGAATTAGAAATTTTTTGTTCAAAAACCATTGGTGATAAGAATCAAATTAAGGGTTCTGACGCTAGGCATTTTGTTATACAACTAGCACAATATGTATTAAATGAACAACAGCATGATAAAATCTCTGAAGATACAGTTGACTTGATTCAAGTACTAGTTGAAATTATCAACATTGCATACAGCTCAGAGGAGAAAAGATCACCACGGCAGATACTACGGTTGTATAACCTTACTTTTTTATTTGGAGTATTAACAAAATCTGTTATAGGAACACCAGTGAAAATAACCACCAGAAAACTGTATGGTTGCCATTTCCACAGTTTAGTTGTACATCTACCAGAAGTATACAGGATTGTAAATACAAAATCAATTTTATGTGAACAAGAAGAAAGATCATTTGGAAGCTTACGGAGAATTGCTGAAACTACAACAAATAGGAAACCAGGTTGGATTATAGATAATACAATCATTCGATATAATGCTCAACAGAATAGTGATGACAGAAGTGACTCATTTGCAAAGCAAGACTCAACCATCAGTCGCCAAGCTAAGCGTCTACCACACAGGAAAAATACCATCTTCACAAAGAAACTGTTATCTGGAAAATCATCAGTTGTGCAATCTCATTTAGCAAGAATCGCAGATTTCATTATCCCTGGTGATCAAATCTGGCGGCATTATGATGGTGAAAATGTTGTTTTTCATGACAGCATTGATGAACCAAACTTCAGATTGGAGGGTCCTCCACTGTCAAATTACCGTTCAACTTCACTGAAAAAAGAAATCACTAATGTAAATAGCATCTGGGAACGCTGTATTTCTTTGGTCAAATTACAGAAACTCATTGTTCCAATACTTAGACTTAAAACTAAGGAGAATGGAAAGCCTGTTTTCCTCGACACACAGATCAGATCAGGTGTGTATAATTCTAAAATAAAATATAGAGTGCTTTAAACACCAATTATTTATTAAGTAAATTTGACAGAAAATTTCAGGCTATGAAAAAATTGTTACATAAATGCATCAAACTTGCTACATAATTGTCAAAAATTAAAAATAACAATAAAGTGTGTACACATTACACCGATGGCCTGATCACACCATCATTTCATCATTTCCCATTTTCAGAAAACCATGAGATATGAATACTGTAATTTGACATATAATTTAGAAAGATCACATCTGAATGAACATATGTACTATAAAGCTTCAAGCTGATATGGCTGAAACTTAATCATTTACCTCAACCAAATACTTTAAACTGATACAGGACTGAGAGGCAAACAAGAGCAGAGACTGGAAAACTTAACAAAATTTTACCATATATACTCGAGAAAAATTATCACTTTTAAAGTTAGAAACCTCTGAGAAACATGCTAATTAATTGGGTCATTACTAGTAATATTTTGCAAAAAACAGAACATCTTTCTATTGAAAGTAGATTTTTAAAAACATGAATTCTCATTTATTTTTCAGCAACAGTCAACATTAGCAAAGAAAAAGCAATACCACCAAAGAAACATAATGGTAAGCAAGTTATACAAGTGAAATGATCAAAATGCTTAAAAACTTTACAAAAATGTGACTGCAACTTTCTTAATATACAAACCCTACATCAAATACTATAATATTTACCGATGTAAAGGTTGAAGAATTGACTGATGAAAAAACCATGTAAACCATTTAATTCATACCATTAATTATTCTAATATTATCCCCGTCTTACTAAAAGTTCTGCATTCTTGATGTCACACCAATACACCGACACTAGTCACTACATATGTCCTCTGAAACATATGGGTAAGCATTAGTAATTATAAAAAACAAATTTGGTAAAGTCCTTCAACACTGAACTAAGTAGTAAACATGTTCATTCTTTTTATATCATGATTGCTTGTGTTATTTTTTTAAGTGAAAAGATATTTGATCTGCTTCCATTTTTTCAGGTGACATATTGGATGACCTCTCCACAACAGAGGAACCAATCATGCAAGGTAATTTATAAACATAAGAATAAAATATAACCATTCACTTATAATGAAATGCTCAGAGACAAGATACTGAAGTGAATTGAAACAATGATTCAAGTCAACACCTTGCCCATAGTTTTTTCATATTACTGGTAGTTTTATTGCAAAAGAAAACACTAACATTTAGATACTTAAAATACGGAACATCTGTACTAAAACAGTAGTCTACATTTCTCTCTGTAAACGTTTTCATTTTGATACATCATCACGTTTACTTTCTGCACAGTAATGATAATTTAAATTTTGGTATATTCCAAATGATATTGCACTCTATGTGTAAGGAAACATGAAATCGAGATAAAACCCAGGTAATTTACAAAGCTCACATCTAAATGAATATATTTATCCAATTTCTTAGTTACAGCCAATTGCATTGAGTGTGTAGGTAAAGGTAATATGTTTGGTTAGCTTGCTTGCTAGCTGAACCGCAAAGTCATTATTAGGTTAGGTAAAATACCCTCCTTTAAGAGTAGACTAGTCCGGCAGATAACCAACCTATCTGTCTGTAGGACTAGACTACTTCTAAAGGAGGGTAGTATACCTTACCTAATAATGACTTCACGGTTCAGCTAAGAAGCAAGCTTACCATACATATTACCTTTACCTAAACACTCAATGCAATCGGCTGTAATGGGACTACATATTCAACTATCTTGACTTAGACACATGAATGGAAAAATGCGATTATAGGCGTGTTCATGGCTGATACACATGAATGGAATTCAGTGGTAAAAAAAGTTACCATTAAAAACATTAATAAAAAATGTTCAGTTTACAATTATAATTATTAAATAGATTTTTGATTTGTGTGTAAACTAGGTTGCTGAATAATAACCTTAACATAAAATTATTTTTTTGCAGTTTTAAGTTGTTTTTTTTTTTCCAAGATAATGAGCAGGAAGTTGAAGATCCTGCATTAATTCTTTATGACAAGGAAAGCTGCAGCAATCAAGAGGAACAAACATCAATTCTCAGTGATATTTTGCCAGGTATCTACTGAAATAGATATTTGATAACAATTCATGTATGCATTTATTGCCATGGAAACATAAAATCAGCAGAATGTTGGTTGGATTTGAGATTTTTTCTACTATTTCAGTAATTTAACTTAATCAACCAATTGAAATCTAGAATAAACTAGTTATTAAATTAATTGTACAAAATCAGACTCAATACTTCTTCCTTACTTTTTAGAAAAACAGGAGCTGTCAGTCAATAGTAAACAGATTTTTTTTTACATTTATTGGAATTTATTCAAATTGCATCAAATTTCAATCTTTCAAATACATGTACCATGCACAGCTCCAGATCAGGAAAAGTGAAACAACATATTTAAATTTGGAAAGAATTGTTTGAACCATTCATATGTTGGCAACTGTCCACACACCATTGTACTTTACAAGTTTAATAACAAAATTTTTCCATCGGAAACCCAGCAACAAGAATTTAAAATAGCTGCATTAACATTTCAGAGCAGAACAAATGCCCACTTATACAAGAAAGTGGCAAGAATATGGTTAATTTTGTTTTAACAGCACAGTTGACATGGTTGAATAATTTATTTCTAACTGAATGAATGAATATTTTTAATTTTTATTTCATTTAATTATGAAGTAAATTTTAAGACACATTGTAATGGTCTGTTTCAGATGCCAAACTCTCTAACAAAGAACAGAAAGGAAGTATAGATAAAGAAATTAGGAGATTATACTTTATCAATGTCAAAGAGGAAGCTGAAAACAGAAAGGGAAAATTAGCCTGTAACATTTCAGAACCTGTAAAAGGTATAACATTCATTCTAACATGACGTTCTTCAAACGCTTTGCGTACACACCCGTGGTAAAATATGAATATATTGTTTGGGCTGTTCCGATCGTACTCCCGCGTCATATGCTTTTTTATGAATAAGCTACCCGACGTCATAGAACGATGACGTAAGAATATAAGCATTTTACGGGAAAATACATGCTTGTGAAACCGAAAATCATCAAAACAAGGAAACGTAAACAAACGATGCTTAAATGTGTTATATAAGCCATTTTTTGTATACATATAAGACATATAAGTACAATTATCATTTAGATTCATCCAAACCTATCTAAATATGTTACTGTAAATAGTTTAAGCATGTCATTTATTCAGTTTGCTCCGGTCTGTTACGTCAATTTAATAGTGCGTTTATTTATGGGAACGGCAAATAATGCCTTCATCTAGAGCGCTTTGATCCAAAACAATTGCCGTATTTGTCCTATTAGAATCGAAATAATTCATGGGGGCTTGAATATATCGTGATTTTACCACGGGTTGTCCCTTTATGCCGATATTTTACCCCTCGCTATCGCCCAGGGTAAAATATTTGTCATAAAGGGCCAACCCGTGGTAAAATCACGATATATTCAAGCCCCCATGAATTATTTCTTAATTTTCTATCATGCACTTTTTGCTAGCATAAATAAACAGCCACTTCTAACAATCATAAGAATATTCAAAGTGTTTTATGGTTTAGAATTATAGCACCTGGGAATTGTTTCCTTTACCAGAAGTGCTATTTTTAATACATGTAATAATTATGTTTTCTTTAATACAAAATTTTCTTTTAGATGTGAAAGCGAGTTCAAAAACAATTGGCCATCAAAAAGATCACTCAGAGGTGAAGCCAGTTCATGCTACGAAATTGACTGCAAAACGGAAACTTTTTGAAACCAGCCAGGAAACTACTGGTAAGGATTTAATACTGTTAAAAATTATTTAGATTGTTGATAGACATACATTGCTGACCTTTTTTGTACATCAGATTATTTTTTTTCTTTCTGTTTGGTGGTTGTCTCAAATGCTATATAATATTACATCTTTAAATTTTCATAAATGATGTTGAAGTATATATATATACATAAGGCCACACCAATTTGATTAATAGTTCTTTGGATTTTCCCGCTCCTGTTTTGGAGAAATTGACTTTTCAATAAAAAAAAATAATTACCGCTTCCGCCAATTTTTGTGCCGCATGCCGCTCCAAAATTAGTTTATCCTTGACAATTTTTTTTTCTCTTAGACGTTTTTCTCGTGCATATATTGCTCTGAGCGATTCAAACGCACGTGTGATAAATCGATTTGTAAATAAAAGGTCAAAAATCGGGATGCCAACATGAAGTTGTGTCAGATCATTGCCGAGGAGACGTAGTTATTAAACACACAGTTATTTGAAATGCATTTCGTTTTACCTGTTCTAGGAGACAAAAATAAAAAATCTTTCGTTAGATGACCACGATCACATCAGTACTTGTTAGAACCATTGTCATCCCCGATCATTGTTTCAACAGACAAAGTCCGAGATTACTCCGACGCTGTTTCCCAGACAAGATGGGGGCTGTTGTCCCACGGCCCCAGCTTGTCTGGCAAAACAGCCGTTGGACGTCAGAGTAATCTCGGACTACAACAGACATAGATATCTAGAGCTATCTGTCTTGGATGAAATTAATATTAAATTCACATGAATTTTTGAAAAATGACAGATTTATCTTATTTTAATGAAAACTCCATATCCCCTTGTTAGTCTATTGACATGCAATCAGAACTCTTTTGTAAGGGAAAATTTTAGAGTTCCAACATTCGAGACCAAAATGGTGGTATTGGGATTGGCATGCTAATAATAATTAGGGATGTGTTATTGGTGCAACCACTTCCGGTTTGAAATACATTGCAGGTTTCAGGGGCAAAAGGAAAAAAGTATTTTGCTAAGTCAGAATAATGCATGTGAATGAGGTTAAATGTATTTTAAGGGAATAGATATAGGAAGATGTGGTATGATTGCCAATTAGACAACTCTCCATCCAAGTAACAATTTATAAAAGTAAACCGTTATAGGTCAAGGTACGGCCTTCAACACGGAGCCTTGGCTCACACCGAACAGCAAGCTATAAAGGGCCCCAAAAATTACTAGTGTAAAACCAGCGGTCTAATCTATATAAAAACGACTTAGGACAGGTGCAAACATTTGCAGCGGCATTAAATGTTTTAATACATTGAGATCTGCATACATAGCAATATAATTATCTTACTCAGGATGTTGTTGAAATATTCACTTCACTCATTATGTTGATCCTATTATGGATAAATAGTTCCAACTGGATGTCAAGCAGCCAATAAACAATAATTACCATATAATGAAAACAACTACCTCAAAAGATATTTAATATTTTTCATGGGCATTTTTTTGGAACACATACACATATTTTAATTGTACTCAACACATTTCATTTACCTAACTAACATAATTCCTCTTGCTAAACTGCATCTGATATGCTTCCTTAATATATACACATGTATGAATTTAAATAAAAATTCACGCAGTCAAAGCTTATTTGACGAAAATAATCAAAATTATACTAAACCAAAGCGAACCAAAAAGTTGGGTATGGTACAGACTGTACTACAGGCACAAATACATCAACTTATATGCATAAGAGCATGTTTATCCTCCTTTTTCTTTGAAGTAACCCAGTTTTAACATGTACAAATATTCTAAATCGCACAATTTAAAAAAAAAATTATACAGCTCGCTCCACTTGTAGAGCATTCGCCTCAACAAAACTCATTTTCAAGAAATAAATACAATCAAAAAAATTTCGCTCGCTCGCCCAATATTTTTTGGAGCTTTTGTCCGAAGAACTAAAAATCAAATTGGTGTGGCCTAATATATGTTAATTGACATTTTTTTTTTAATAGTGAATTTTACTTTATCTTTCAGAACCATCTAGTGGAAAAAAGACACCATTGGATCTTGCTGTGCAGTTGCTGGGAAAAACACCAGAAGTATTAGAGTGCATCAAATATAAAGGACTGAAGCAAAATCATCCCTCTCATGCACCCTTCTCGGCGAAGTATGGCAAATTGTTTTCCAAACTCCAGATAGACATCAGCGCCAAGTACCATGAACTAAAAAATAAATTAAACAACTCTAAGATGCATGGAAACATGGAAAAGGAAAATGCTGACTTGAAGATTGCACAAAAATTACTAGACCACTGGGGAATGTATTACTTCTAATCAGAGAAAATTTAAATGAGCAGAATTGATTGTTAATTTTTATTGAATTTTATTTAAAAAAGACCAAATTGACTGCAACATGATTGATTGATATTTAAAGACTAAATTGATGAATAAATGACATCAATGATAACATGATTGATTGATAAATATCAATGATAACACGACTGATGAAAACAAGTTTGTATGATTGATAACTTGAGATAGATTGATAAAAGACCATTTTGACTGATATACAATGTAAATGACATCAATGATAACATGATTAATTGTAGTAGATAAATGATATGATTAATAACATGATTGATTAATAACAGAGGATTATATGATTGATAACCCAAGTTTGATTGATAATGACATCAATGATAACATGATTTATTGATAACTTAAGATTGAATTATGGATAAAACACATTATTTTGAAGTTCAAATTCAATAAAAGACCACAGGAATGTGTACTGGTTGATAAAATGATACTTCTTCTGTTGATTGATTGGTTTTAATCCTTTTACAATTTTACTGATTGAAACTTTGATTGATATTTTGTCACCTGATTAGAAGTAGTATATTCCTCTGCAGACAACATTATGGAAGCCAAAATGATTACATAACACTTTGATTGATTGATAACATGCCAGCTACCTAGAAGCAATTCAATGAAGACGAATGATTGATGATGAAATTAATTTTTTTATTGATTGATTGATTTAAAATAATGCACAAGAGACAATTTATAGCACTGCACAGCAGATACCATGTACCGCACTACTTATTTATCAAATACAAGAAATTGAGGGAATAAGCCCAATTGTAAATCCTTCATATCATCCTTTGATATATAATTTTCCAGGCTTTAAATTGACAAAAGCAGTAAATACTAAAAAAGAACAGGGAAAATATGTTGGTCTTACAAATTCCTTCTACCTTGAGGTATAATTGCTTATAAATGAGAAAACAATCCTCTAAAGTTATACATGTAAGGACGATGCTGTGAACAAAAGATCACTGTACAGTCTTCAACAATGAGTGAAACCTCTTACTGTTAAGTTCACTATATTTATGACAATGTATGAAAAACATGTACAAATTTGAGGATAAATATAAGCACTTCACCATAGAATTAAAAAACAAGCTCATATGTAGATATAAGAAGATGTGGCATGAGTGCTAATGAGACAACTCTCTCACCCAAGTCACAATTACTAAAAGTAAACCATTATAGGTCAAAGTACGGTCTTCAACAAGGAGCCTTGGCTCAAACCGAACAGCAAGCTATAAAGGGCCCCACAAATTACATGTGTAAAACTATTTAAAAACCAACGGTCTGTAATTTAATTGCTGTTCTTTTATTTGATCAAAAACACAGACTGGTCTTCAACAGCAGCAATTAGTCATTATTTAATAGATCTTGATTTTATTTTGAGGAACTGTATCCCTGCCCCCTTTTTACACTTTATCTGTCAAAAAAGATGGATGATATGAACGGATTTATGAAGTTGATACATCAGATATCACAGCAATTTACTGGAAACGATCACAACATACTGGATATGACAACAATTTACTGGATACGACAACAATTTACTGAATACGAGCAACATATAGCATACATATACTGGATATGACCAACATATATACTGGATACGACAACAATTTACTGGATGTGCCCACCATATATTGTACAAATACTGGATATGACCAACAAATATACTGGATATGACCAACAAATATACTGGATATGACCAACAAATATACTGATATGACCAACAAATTACTGGATATGACCAACAAATATACTGGATATGACCAACAAATTACTGGATATGACCAACAAATTACTGGATATAACATTTAATAGATACCAGAGCATTGTCATAAGGCAGTGAATTGATGTGGCGTCTAAATATTTATGGATATGACTTGACTCAATGTCACACTGACATTATCTGTAATCATGGTAATATTATTATTTTCCTTTCTAAAAAAAAGGTAATGCTAAAATATACAATTTTATAAGGTATCCAGGTGATGGTTAAAATATCTGGTCATCTAAAATGTGTATAGGAAACAGTATCATGGTAGGTTGGCCATAGGGTTGGTCATGTGATTTATTATGATCTGTACCATTTTTAACTAATTATGACAAGTGTTTTAGCTTCTCATCTAGGATTTCATAAATATTCTGCTAAATTTCTAGCTTTTTATGACTAATTTTAATGTTTATCATGTTTATAATCATTGATAAAGTTTAAACATATTTAAGTTTTGTACAGAGTTAGTTTTTTGTGTGCATTAAAAATTTCTTCTTTCAAAGAGTAAAGTTAAAAAATAATCTAATATACAATGTTAAATAATAAAGATGGAAAAAATTATTAAATAATTCAAAGTACCAGAAATAGCAAAAAGGGCCAATAATAAAATCATAATGACTGGCAATATAATAAAAATATCCTGATTTTAATTTGTTTTGTTTCAAAAAAGGTGTAATAAAAACAGTGGTTTAAAAGAAGAAGTAATAAACAGAGTGGTTTCAGAGAAGATGTAAATGGCATTTAAGGGTTTTCTTGCTGTGTAAAATTCTCCATGCTTCATTTCATGCCATATTCTGTATTGCATTATTTCATCAGTCCAAGTCAAGCACCTTCAGGAAATTCTGATATTAAATGAAACTGATTTTTTTCTCTCCTTGGACAAAAGTTATATATTTATAAATAAAGTAATTGATAAATATGTGAATAATTCAAATTCTTTTTAAATTAAACAGGCCATTGTTTTTAAAAAATCAATTTAGAGAATGTATGCATGTCAACAATCTTTATTTCTTCAAATAATGGCAAGCATTTAATTTGTTAAAACCGTTAAAATAACAAGTAATTGTAAACTGACAATAGTTTCTTCAGACTTAAAAATTAAGGTGGGCAGCAAACATGGGAAAGTTACATTGTATGTAATCATTTTGTTATATAAATTATAATTTATACATAAATAGAAACCTAACTAATTATTACACAGCAATTTTGTTAAAAGTGAAAAGTAAAAAAAGGTTCCCCTTGGACTGAAATTTGCAATGTGGTGGTGGGTGGGGAATGCAGCCAAGATATGTAAAATCTTGCCAGTCACAAACCTGGAAGGAAGGTAACTTCAATCAATATGGAAGTGACCTTCTGAATGCAGAGTGAACCACCATAAGAAGGAATAAACTAGTTTAGTGTGATTTTTCAGAAAATAAATTTGTACAAATAAACAAAAGGCACTTTGAAAATGTTGTAACGAGAACGATCTATAGAGATTTACTACAGATTGAGTTTTATATTTGCATGATTTGTGGGATATCAATTTTCGAAGATTTCATTGTTGAACCGAATTAAAAATTTTCAATGAAGAACAAATTCTCCTTAGGCTAGTATGTAAACTGTTGCCAAACTATGAAATCAAATATCCCCAAACCACAAAAAAGTGATGAATCCATGTAGTATATTATAATTTCAGAATTTCCTTTTTAACTTTCACAACATGAAAACCCTCACCAATTGAATTCCAATTTCAGAGTTCCCATGCATGTTTGTACAGGAAAAACCCTTACTTGTATTATTATGAAAAACTGGGAAATAAAATTAAGGAGATGTGGTACATGTATAATTGCCAATGAGACAACTATCCAACAAAATCCAAATGACTGGATTTAATCAATAATAGGTCAATATATGTCCATCAACAATGAGCTGAAACCATACTATGTAGCAAGAGTGCTTGTCATTGGCAAGTCAAATCAAAACTTTACTCATCTGGAAGGAGAATTAGTCGCCCAGAATTTACAAATGAATTTTGAATTCAGTATTAATTGTATTTAAAATGTTGAAACTGTTTTGTAACACAATAAAAATGTTATTTGTGATATTTGTATAATATATACATATAAAATCAGAAGATGTGGTATGCTACAGGCAATGAGACGATTCTCAGTAAAAAACTAATTCAGAAAGAAGTTAACAAGTTCAACTATAGGTCAGCCCCCGTCTTGGTTTGGCCTTCAACATTGAGCAAAACCCATACAGCATAAGCTATGATTGAATAGCCTAAAATGACAAATGTAAAACAATTCAATCGAAAAATATATGAAAAATTCGTAAGGGTTCCGCGGAACCCAGTGTCTCGCCTACTTTTTCTGTTAATCGCAGGCTCAATAAAAATGAGGAAGTAAATCAATAAAAATATTCCTCTTGATACTATCTTTTGATTGTAAGAAGCTTCTGTCCAAGTTTGGTAAAAATCCAGGATAGTTTATGAATCTAATAAATGTTTAATAACTTTAACTGCAGACTGAATGTGATGTTAACTGGAAGAAAACAAAATTTCCTTCTAAATACTAGCATTTGATCATAAACAAGCTTCTGTCCAAGTTTGGTACAAATCCAAAATAGTATAAGAAAGTTATTAAAATTTTAAAAACTTTAACCACAGAGTGAATGTGTTGTTTCCTGGCAGAAAATCTAAGTCCATTTAAAAGTAAAATAAGGAAAAAATGGATTTATTTTTTACAAAATTTACTTCTGGATACTATCTTATGATCATAAACAAGCTTCTATCCAAGTTTGGTACAAACCCAGGATAGTTTAAGAAAGTTATTAAAATTTTTAAAACTTTAACCACAGAGTGAATATTTGTGGATGCCGCCGCCGCCGGAATGTAGGATCGCTATGTCTCGCTTTTTCGACTAAAGTCGAAGGCTCGACAATAAAGGAGCATAGATTAAAGAGATATAAAATCCAACAAAAGAATCAAAGGACATCTAGAGGGCAATTTTGCTATGTTTTCAATGCTATATGATGCTAGACAAAAATGCTAGATTAATTATTACAATTTCAGAAAGAGCTGCGTACATATATA